CCAAATTGCAACTTTATTGAACCAAACCATCTACGTTCACAAGCTCCCTCGTTATCCATTTTGCAGAGAGCAGGACGGGGAAGAATTTCTGTCTTATTGAATAAAGGATGCTGTCGAAGTGGAGCCTCCTGCTCTCAGGAACCCTTGCATCGGCAGAACCCCGGGAACCATAGATCACAAAGGGAAAGAGTAAATCGATGAGGATGAGAAGTGGGCAGCAGCAGAGAGGGAGGATAATGAAAGAAAACAGAAAGAGATAAGGACAGATGGGAGAGTGAAATGTAGAAAAAGTAAAGTGCTCAGCACTGATTCAGCAGAACATGTCTTTAGATCTTCAGTTTTTTCTCTCTCTGATTATAAGATCTCCATCGTGAAGGTTGTAAAAGTCAACTCTGAATGAACGAATGGACATAATACTCACGGTTTATTATAGCTTCAAATTCTGCAATATTGGAAATACTGGAAATAATTTATACTTGTGCTTCCTCCATCTTTAACCTCTCTCCCAACGGAGTCACATAAAGTTTGGCACGATGACGGAATTAAAGATCAAAGCCTTGGATTGAATCTTTGAACGTGTGCAGTTTTAATAAATGTGAGCCTTGAGCTCGTGCTTCTCTTTGATTCCTGCGTTGCAGCGTGTGGATTTTGGTCCTGAAACTGCAACTGTCGCAACTTTTTTTGTTTGACTGTGGAAGTTTCTGGTTTTCCGCGTGAACGACGACACGAGGAAATGCGAGCAAAAGCGGCGGTTTGAGGAAAAGCTTTGAAGTAATCTGAGCTTTTTTTAAAAAACTACAACAAACACAGTTTGGAGTGTTTTTAGCTTAATGAATGAGACTCTATGAAAACCATCCTGGTGATGTCAAAGCGACGTATCAAGAGTATAAGTTCTAAAAAGAAGTGAGGCTGCGTTTTGAAGCGGATGTCCAGAGATTAGAGGAAGTGGACATGAACCAATAGCCCTTATTTTGGTTATTCTGCCAAACGTTGCAGTAGCAGAGACACAATGACCGAAATGACTCAGCTGACTGTTTTTGCTGTCAATGCGGAAATTTTCATTGGAATTACCGGCCGCCCTCTGCTGCTATATTCATCCTTTTGTGCTGTCGTGCTGTTTCCCCACGGTGGTGTACATAAAGAACCGGTATGACAGCTACACCCTCCACATCCTGCCACCATGTTTCATTCTCATATGGGACGTCGAACAACCCTTCACCCCTCCTGCGCGCTCGAACTGGCACCATCCAATATCCCCTCAATGTTTGAGTGTTAGACAGCGACAGCCGCAATAACTCAAAGCACAAACACATCACTTAGTTCTTGCATCCTAAAAAAAAAGCGAGTTTTCTTTGCAGCCTTTAATTTACATAATCGTCACGTAGCTCTGTAAACATCGATGACATCCGCACACCAAGTGTTGGTCACAAATTGACAGTTTCTTTAAGTTCATGAACATCTCAGTTTCAGACGTAAATAAATCCTCTGGGAAAACGAATACACTGGCCTCTCTAGCCTCTTTTTATCTCAGGAGGAAATATGTGCCCAAACTTTTTCAAAACCCATCCAGCCGATTGAAGCTGGCGTCGAATTAAAATATCTCTCTGCTGATGAAATCAGGTTTTACAGTAGTCTCTTAGAACTGCAGAAGAAAAAGAAAAAGCGTTCTGCTACAAATATGCAGTGCCACGTCTGAACTTGTGTGCTTTTCATCTGTATCGTCTATTTTTTCCCTTTCCTCTCTCCCTTTTCCCTCTGAAAGCACTAGGGCAGTGGTTATAGGACAGAGCCAAAGTTTGGTTACCAAAGGGAAAAAAAAAACAGAGGAGATGAGAGGGAGGCATAGAGATGATTACAGGACAAGAAGAATTAAAGCAGACATTGGAAGGAAAAGAGAGTGCCATGAGGTGGAGAAGATGTGGGCATAGAAAGAGAAGAGAAGATCTTACAGTGTTTGGTACTCGTGAAGTCTGCTGGGAAACGCAATGGAGTAACTATAACATGTGGCTTGATGTGTAGTCAGATTTGCAGATTTATTTATTCATTTATTTTAACTAAAATTGAATCTAGTAAATCTGACACACATTGTAATGTTATCACCCACCCACTCACAGCGAGAGGGGGACGAGGAGAGTGCGGCTGCAGGATGGGCACGAAAAGCACCAAAGCGTGCAGTAAAGAAAGGGAAGAAAGAAAATACACAAAGAGAGGTTTGGGGTTTACGGGCAGGTACTTGGAAGTGTGAATCATGACACAGGTGTAACATTTTGGCATCTGCCAAAGTGATGAGAGTGGAGTTTGATACTGTAAGTCATTGATGCAGAGTTTGAGTCTCTTCATGAAGGTCTCAGTAGATGTGCCAGTCACAACACAAACTACAGAGAGAAAGTCTCGCTTATTCTAGAGTTAAGACTCCAATGAGAAGCCGCTTTTTTAAATGTTATTTATATTCCAATGTAATATAGACATATTAGTAACTGGGTTTGTCATTGGCACTGTTAATATTTTCCTTTCATCAAACAATTTTAGGGTAGAGAAAGTAGAAAGTTTAGAAATGCTGTTTTGCTGGCTAGTTCTGATCTTACTGAAAGAATGTGTCTTTATCTCAAGTGTAATTAACAATGTATGAAGTTACTTTAATAATTAAATAGAAAACATAATTTCCACATATTTTGTCAATATAATTCTTAGCTTTATTCTCATAAATTACTAAAGGAAAAGTCTGGGATTCAGAATAACTGGCTGTGTGGAAAGAAAAGAAAGTTATTTTTCCAGGTTACCTTTTTATGAAAGAACTTAATCCTGTGTTGCGAGAAACAATATGGTATATATAGTAAGGCTGGTAATTAAGTTGGCAGCAGTTAGCTTAGCTTAGCATAAAGACTAGCAGGTTTAGAAGTCTGGCTTTGCCTGAAAGGATCAAGCTGCCTTAAAACAAAGCAGGTTATATATAAAATGTTAAAGAGTGAGCTTTAGGCAGGCTGGTGGACATGTATTGTTAAATGGGGCGATACAGCAGGGCTCCAACCAGCTCATTAGAAATGAAAAAACAATAAAGAAATCACTTAAAAATTGGCTGAAAGTTCAGTACAGACCTCCTGTCTCCACAAACATATCAGAATCATAATCAGCATACTTTATTATTCTATAAGAAAATTATGTGGGTTAGAGTTGCTCATATATTAAAGAGATGTAGCTGCCCTGTTACACTGGCATGCACCACCCTTTAGCTTCGCCCTTGCTTTGGACTGGAGTGGGCATTAATTTTCCCAAAAGGTGGGACTGTTTGGAGGGCCACACTGATAAGCTAATATAAGTTAATTATTATTTATTGGTGCAGCCACTCACAGCAGTCCCAATTTCTCATGTGGCCCTTTGGGATAATTAATTGCCCACCCCTAGAGTCTGGACAAACATGGGCATTATCTGGATCTGAAGTCAAGCTAGGCTAATCACCCTTCAGTTGCACAATCACCTAATGGAGAAGCTTTATGTAGTTCTTTAAAAGAAATGTATTTCAATGATCTTGCTCGTTCTTCCTGCTCATAAGATGCTTTGTTAATTACCAGTAGGAATCCCCATGTTTGCATGAACTATTTATGAGATCACTCACATTCTCAGCTAGGATCTGCTTTGTGCAGTTGCCACCACACTTACCCACAATGCTCAGGCACCTGGGCATCCTCCCGGTGTCATGATTTTTTTATTTAGTGTCCTCATTTGCACATTAGCTGAGTGACATGTTCAGTTCTTCTCACCTTCTGAACAGTCATACATATCAGCTTGTTTGCACCGCTGCTACAAACAGCATATACAATAAGTTTCAAAAGAGCTCATTGTTACTGCTTGGATGTGGAGCGCAGTCACCGTAAACGAAGCTATAGACTCGCATTTCTTGCTTTTTATTGCATTCTCCTCTCGCTCTCGCACTCTGGGCTTTCCTCCCTGTTTAGTAAATTTCATTCTCAGTGTGTATGCTATCCTGAGCAGCGGGCCTGAAGCAGCTTGAAAACACTGTGCACGAGAACGGCGCTCAGGTTTCACAGCACAGAGTTGCTGAAAGAGAAATAAGAAGGTCTGAGGCAAACATGCAGCAGTTCTGAGTTCACTGGGTATTTGAGATTCCGGGCCAACGTTGTGTTGTTTCACTTTCCCCGCTCTTCAAGCAAAACAATTTAACCCTCGTTTTGCTGTTGGCTTTGTGTTCCGATATGCAGCAGTTAGCTAATCCCACATTTGGCATTTTTACGATGAGGACTGAGTGTATACAGAGAGGCTGAGACTATCCAAATCCCTAAAGCCTCTTCTGTGGGGACGCCCGGCCGATTCCCGCTTCTCCTGCTTGGTCCAAAGATCTGAGCAATGATTCCCTCTGGCTGGATTTTATAGGGACACTCAAAGCTTTATTACACCAAAGCCCTTTCCAGACAAGTAAAATGACATGATAACGGATGACATTCTGCACTATAGACTGGTATGGAGATTTCTCTCTCTCTCTACTTATGCCCTTTTACAAATGTCTTTTCAGATGTGTCCTTAGACCGGTTACTAGCTGATCTTTGCTCTGTGTAGCTTAATGCGGAGTTTTATCTTGATGACATTTAAATGTTGTTCTAGGTCGTATGGAGTGTGCTTTCTGCTTAAAATGCTTCTCATGCACAGGAAAAAAACCAAACTACACCATAAATTTACTTGTAGGAACTCTGGACTCGCACTTCAGCACTAGCAGCTCTGCGCTGCTCAGCTGGACAGGGTGCGGGTGAAGTGTCTTGCCACAGCGGAGGCGGTTAATGAGCTTTATAGCTGTTGGAAGAGCCAAGCTGGATATTTCCCCACGTTTTCAAACTTTATACTCAAGCTAAGCTGCCTCCTGTCTTCAAATGTCTATTTATGATTTTGAGATCATGTTTAGCTCCTGTCCAAAAATCAGTCTTTGCAGATTATTCGTTGGAGTTTACAGTGATGTCTAACCTTTTTCCTCCTTGTTTCCTTGTTTATAGGCATGGCTCCAGAGGTATGGCTACCTCCCTCCTGCAGACCCCAGAATGTCAGTGCTGCGTTCTGCCCGAGTCATGCAGTCTGCTATCGCTGCCATGCAGCGCCGCTACGGCCTAAATGTCACAGGCACGCTGGACAGCAACACTATAGAGTGAGTCACACACACCTTTAAAAATACCCTTAAAGACACCTCAGTATGAATTATGCACAAGGTTCACGATGGGTTTATTCCCAAAATAAGAAAACACGGGTAAGAATACAACAGGAAGCGGCTGAGTGTGAAATTACAGCTATAGAGAAACCGTGGTGTTTGCTTTGGTCATTTTTTGTATTCGCCTGAATACAAGTAATTACTTGGGATATGTTGAATTGCTCATGTTGCTTTTAAAAAGAGAGAGATGTGGATCTCAGATGGATTTTTATGATTTGATGAACAGTCTCAGACTAAAAATCTAAATTCGCTGAGGGCCTCGGGCATACTGTAGGTAGATGTTTTATTAATTTGAGGAGGGAAAACACACTGCGAACTGTGTTGCTTGTGTTTCTTTTTTGTAGGACTCACAGTTCAAGTGAACTAGACATTTTCAAAAATGGAGGTACAGGCTGTTTGTGTTTCTTTTCGCCCCGTCTTACATTTTTAAGGCGACCAGAGTCGTTTTGCCAGACGCAAAGTTGGCGTAACGTAGACTAAGTGGGGCTTATTAATGTGATCAAAGAGGGTTTTTGCAAGAGTACACCTCCGATGTCAGATCAAAGACTTCACAATGTTTTAGTATTAATAGACAGTGGAAGAAACAGAAGAGCTGCGACTCTGGTTGGCTTTGTCCTCATTTGAACAGTCCAACCTCAGCCCAGCAGCTACAAGCAATCAAGCAGGTCATGTTGGTTTGGATTTTCTTTCTTTTTAATGGAAAGACTCATTGTTATATTATATTTTGTCTGCACACAGGAGTGTAGTGGAGTGAAAACCCACCTGGGCTCTCATAAGTCTTTAAAGAGATGTTTTTAAATTATTCATCTGTATGAGAGCGGCAGTGGCACGAGGACACAGATCATCTGTGTTTTTAAAGCAGCCCTGGATTTACCCGGGTTTAACCTCGCCGCATTATACCTGCAAATCACTAAAACAGTGCTCGCTGACATTTGTGCGCACCAACAGCGAAATACCATCCATGCCACACGCAGCAAAAGCGCTCACATTGGTCACTGAACTGTGATGTGGCGATGTGGTGGCCAACTATGTGAATGCAGACTAACAGCTATCCAACCGCTGGGCTGAAACAGAGTGAAATGTGATGAGCTAACAGTGCCTGTTTCTTTTTCCCCCCTTCTGCTTCTCTCGATTAATGTAGGGATAACACGATAAGGTGAGGCACCTTTTTTGTACATTTAAATACATGTAGTTTTACACTGTGTGGGTGTTACGATGAAGTACGTGTGTTCTGTTATCAACACGTTGTCATCTTTGCATTTCGTTTACATATAAATGTTCAAAAATTGCATCATATTGAATTATTTTGCACATCTGTTCTGTGTGACACTGGCTCAGAGTTGGCTCCTGTGAGCCAGTGACATCACTGTGTCAGGGTGGGGGAGGTAATGTGCTGCTGCCGATATAACCTTTTTCCTCCCCGCCTCTCTCCACAGGTGGATGAAGAAGCCCCGATGCGGGGTTCCTGACCAAATAGGGGGTGTGTCTAGATTAAGTGTCAGGAAACGACGGTACGCCCTCACGGGACAGAAGTGGCAACACAAACATATCACATACAGGTGGGTGGATTCAGCTTTTCTTTTGTTTTCAAGGCATTTCAGTGCTACCTAGCACTACAGCATGTTCAGAAAACCCCAGAAACACACCCCAAACTGCGAGGAGACCCCAATCACCCGAGCAGCCGTGTGGGAGACATAGAGATAGGAAGAAAGAATACTTTTTTCTTCAGTAGCTCCTTTATTTCCGTGTCGTTTGAGCTTTTGACCTGTCCCTGCCTGTAAGCTTTATAGCAGGGCTGTCAAACATAAGGCCTGTGGGCCAGAATCATTCTAGCAAAGACTCCAATCCAGCCCATGAGATTTTCCCTCTGCTAAAGACTTCCCACATGCCCATTCATGGTACATCAATGTAATTAAGTGACAGATTATTAACTGACAGATGTTTTTTCACTAACTACCAAAGAAATTTCTGTGTTTTGGGTTTTTGTTTTGTTTTTCTTTTAGAAAAGCCTACAGAAAAAAAGGGGACATTTTCTTTGGATTAACCAAAACCTCTGTGTAATAATTACAGGACAGTCTGGGCAATGAGCTGCCAGATCCTTCTTACACATTCATTTCTTGCAGTTAAAGCCCAAAGAGTCACGCTGACAGATGTCTTACCCCTACTCTAGCAGCTTCTTTATCATGTGCAAAAACTGTTTCTTGTATTGAGACAGGCTGTATGTGGCCAACCAAGTAAAATCACTTTGACATCCCTGATTTCACTTCCTCATTTCCCCTGAAAGAAGCACAATATTTGAACTTGCGTAATGGACGCGAACCTACGAAAGCAAAGGTCAAGTAAAGTTCCACGTCACTCAGAGCCTTAAACATCACATTAACAGCAGCACAGGCCGTGTCCATCAAACCTCTCACTGCCGGAGCCGTCTCGCTCCTGACAGAACATGTAGCACAAATGCAAAAAGAGTGTACGCGCACTGGTGACCTCACCGATTTCATAATTCACCAGCGCCTTTGCTGACATCCCGCTACATGAGTAATAATGTATAGGACAGCTTTCTGTGGTTATATAATTTTTCTCTGCTAAGATGTAGTGAGTAGCCCAGATTCTGTAATATTTCATGTGTGTTATACTGTTGCTTGCCTTGGCTTCGTGTTTCATGGACAATCCTCAAGTGCTGTTCTTGTTTTTTCAGTTATTATTCTAGATTTTTAAAAATGTTTTGCATAAGCGGTAATTCCTGCTAAATATAATGTATGGCTCAGTGGCCTCGAATAACCTTTTCTTTTTTTGAGATTGAGTTGAAATTGAGCACGTGGTTCATTTGCAACACCACTGATAAGAAACCAAACCAATGAGGCGGATCGATGCAGAGTGGAGGAGGAGAAGGGTGGAAATGAGGAGAGAGGAAAGAGAAGAGAACAGGAGAAGCAGATTCAGAGAGAAAGACATGAGCTGAGAGGAGGAGGAGGAAACCCTGGTGGAAGGCAGAGGGTACTCTCTGACAGATTAGGGTTATGTAAATGAATGGGAGCATTTTGAGTGTGTGTATTTGTGTGTGCATATATATTTATATATATATCTGTGTGTGTGTGGGTGTGTGTGTGTGTGTGTGTGTGTGTGTGTGTGTGTGTGTGGCCTCTAGTCAGTTGTCAGATGTGCCTGCAGCTGCTCCTTTTATGTCAGATTGCAATGGAGGTAGTTGGAGAATGCAATCGTCTAACGACTCTTTTAATCTGCTTAAATGTTCTTTATGTAGTGTTAGAACGGGTCACCTCATTTAAATCTGATTCAAGTATCAAAATCTTGTCAGTAATTTAAGAAATGCTGCTATGCATTCGTGTCAGAATAAGAAGCAACATCTTTCCTTCTCAGTTTGAAGAAAAAACGTTTTCAAGTATAACTGAGGTTCATCGATGGACGGTGGTAAACATAAAATTGTGCTAACTGCAAGGGAACTTGTAAGGTTAGGTGCTGAAAGCTATGAGTCACAGTGACGGTAACGGTTATCCAAAGCACCTTATGCCCATAAATTATTAGGATGCTGACTTTTAGGCATATTGTACCTCAGTCATAAAACATGTTCTCAGAGTTCTCAAGAGTCGCAGATCTTTAAAATTCAAATCAAAGTTGAAGTAAACGCAAAAATTTGCCAGTAGACTTAAACTGTTTTTATGTTTCGTATGACGATGGTAAAGAAAGTAAAAGCATACATGAAAATGTGATTAGCATTAGCTAGCTAGAACACTTCTGAGTGTTTGATACGGAGGTTTTGTCTATATATATAAAATGCTGGAATAAACATTTCCCCACTTATAAAACATAATACAACATAATATGTTATAACCTCGAATCTTTTTGCGACTCTTTACCATTCTTCTCTGCAGGCCTTCCAGAGCTTTGTCAAGTTGGGCCAGTATTTGCACGTCCTTCCTGAAATATTTGATAGGTTCAAGCCAGAGCTGTGACTTGGCCACTTTATGTTTATATTAACCGTTGGCCCAAAGACATTATGCAGTGCCATCTGACTGTGGTAATGCCTGGAAGTGTAAAAGCTGAATATGAAATTGGGTCATCTAACAGCTGTCAAAGGCTGCACATGTGCCGTCATTGTTAATTACCCAATGATTTGTTGAGTAAAAAGAAATGCAAAATTAGACTGACTAACAAGGAAGTTAGTAAGAACATCCCTAGTCACTAAGCCCCTTAGTCAATGTCTTGACTGTGTGTTGAGGGTCAGTGCCTTGATGGAAGAACTTTCTGCTCAGTCTAAGATCATGAGTGCTCAGGTGACATGACATAATGAATTTTAAAAACACACACCCAACAACATGATGCTGCCACCGCCCTGCTGCACTGCACGGATGGTACTGTGCAGAGGATGAGCGCTGGCTTAATTCATCATATATAATATCAAACTTAAAACTGCATCTAAACCATTCAATCCCAGATCAGGTGCTCTTGTTGCACACAGTCACTGGACTCCCAGGTGTCTTTTGCGAAAGGAACAGGCGCTACCTCAAAACAAACACTATCTCTACAGACACTACAGTTAGACTGTAGCAGTCTAACTAAAAAGTGGATATCTTGTTCTTGTTTCTCCCTGAAGAACCTCTGCCTTTCTGTTACAGGCTTCAAGCATTTAAAATAGTCCTGAAAAAAATAACACTGACATTTGGAAAGTATAACAAATGCATGCAAGCCCCAGGTGTGTGCTGGTCTCGGTGTAGCCACATACAGTACTTTCTGTGGGGAGGCACTAATTAGCTTTGGCATCCCTACTGTTTTCCCTGCATGCAGGTACTATTACAGCACATGAGTTGCATTCGGAGTCATTATCACCTCGCAGTATGGAGTTTAATATGTGGTGTGGCCTCAGAGCAGGCAGGGATTATTTCCATTTGTTATTGTGCAGCTTCGCCCTGCATGTGTTACCCTCTTTATCTGGCTTGTCCTTAAAATAGGACACACATACAGAGGGTTGGGTCACAGGCTCGTATGAAAACCATCTTTTTTTTATTCCTTGAGTGGCCTCAGTTGTTGATAAGGCCTTTCAGAGAGAACAGGACAAGGGCATGTATTCACACAGAACCCTGGTGGTGCTACAGTGTTTATGTGTTACTTTTAATAACAGGGAAGATGTTTGTACCTTTGTGACTCTCTCTGGGTCAGCTGATATTGATTCAAAAGACGGACTGTTTCCCTGTCTTTATCACGTTTGTACTTCAGTCTGCTTTACATAAGCCCTTTAAAAGACAAAGTGGCTATTCATGATGCCTCTTTAAGTGGTCTCAATTAGGTAGGAATAGTTAGCTAATGCCACTTCTAGATGATGTTCAAGATTATCTCTGGAATTTAAGGCTTTGTCAGCTCCCAGGTTAAGATAACAGCATTTAGTACCTGCACTTTAAACTGTAGAACAGTTCAAAATGTACACAGTTTTAAGCTCAACTTAATATCAGCTTCAAAGACATTATTGTATATCTTTGAAGCTCATATCATTAAGAAATGGGGGGGAAAGAAATCCAGCAGAGGCCTGAGAGATGCATCAGTGAAGCCTCATCAGGAATGGTCTCAGTGGAACGTGGCTGTCAAGAAGCCATTCTTAAAGAAGATTACACAAGAACTGCACTGAAAATCAGTCGGGTTGTGATGCTGTCTCGCTTTTCGCTTTTTAGCCAAGATATTGAGCGTAGGGGGAGAAAAGTGTATCGTGTTCCACAGTCAACTTTTTGACCAGTGTGACTGCATCGTCTGGACGCTTGTAGAGTTTTGTGGCTGTACTCGACAGTGTGAGACGCGACAGTTGATGTGAAAATAACAAACAGAATGGCGGTATTATCAGTTAAAGATATATTAGAGACTTGTATTTTGAAGAGCTACTGGGAAGCTGAAAGGAGGTTGAATGTTCTTTTTTTCCCCTTTTTTTAGGTGGACAAAAACACTGCTCTGGCTGCTGATTCTTCTCAGTCTCGGCTCAGTGCATGCACCAGCTGCTGTTTGCCTGACAGTGGAGGTCTAAATGTAGGCTAACAGGAAGGATGCTAGGATATCAAAAATAAGACATAGCTCTAAAAAAAAGAATTAAAAGCATCCCTGCTTCTTCGTCTTTTATCATGACGTATGTTCTGTTACTTTCTTACTTTCGCTCTGTGTGTGTGTGTGTGTGTGTCTGCAGGCCTCAGTTCTGAAATCATTATCAGAAAGAGAAAGTTTTACAAGACTTTTGAGAGTGCAATTAAAGCGAACAGGTCTCTGGCAGAGTGGTGGTCGGCCGCCTGCGAGTCAGTCTTGAAGCGGCCGACAGAGAAAGAAAAGCAGATTGTGTTTTGCTATAAGCGATTAAGAGCAATTCAAAAGAATGTAGCAGGTGATTCAATAGCAGAGTATTTATAATTCACGACCAGCCTTTGTGCTTCCCTCTTCACCAAATGTGATTCAATAATGAATCGGAGCTTACGTGTGGTATCAATTTGCAGTGTATATAAATGTGCCTCGCAGTGGTAGACAAAGGCGTTCTGATAATATTTATTCCTATTATGGAAAACGACAGCGCTGACAGCCAAACACAGAAACTGTGAAGAACTCAAACGAAAACGGGAACAAAGGTGACGAGGTGACGGAGGGTACACAAATGAGACGGGGTGGATGCGAGGCGATAACAGGGAAGTTTCGAATAAACCTGAAGCAGTTGAACAAGAAAACAAAGAAACTGACGCGGAGCTGTTTTGACTCCCACTTTTTTTACGCACTTAAATTAAACATCATCGTTCCTCCCAAATCAGACGCAGCAGCAGAAGAACACACAGAGCGGCTTGTGTTTACAAGTGTCTTAAGTTGACTGATGTAAGCTACACCTATCTGTCTATCCCTGGAGACGAACCAGATTTTAATAGAGCGTGACACTGAGATATTGTCAGACTAGAATAAAGCGGAGAGAGGTTTTTCCTGATTGCCCGAACCAGACTGTGGCTCTCAGCAGGCAGTGGACTGTTGATAATCCTTAATTAGAAAATAAATTCCAGAGGCAGGAAATTGTCCCATCCTCTCCACACCTGCACCGACTCAAAGCCGGCGGGGGAGGACTCAGCTGTTTTCTCTCACAAATCGCTCCATTTAGCTCTCTGTTGGCGAGCAGGACGAGCGTGAAATGGCAGCGTGCAGGGAAAAGCGGTGATAGTTGGGTTTTTTCCTCTTCTTGTTTGGCGTAGTGAGATCACATAGATTGACATGCAGCGATGTTCGCCTCTTTCAGCCGTTGTGCTTGAACTCACTGTCAGTTTCTGCCTTGCTATGTCTCAGATTCACAGGACTTTATTTTCTTCCCTGATTTGATTCTGTTCTTTAATTTTGTCTTTTTTCTTTTTCCTCTGAGTGGTCATCCAGCACAATAAGCCACTCTTCAGTGTGTTTATTTTACCCAGTGCTGTGAGCTCCTTATTAGACCAATTTACAGTGGATTTGCTCATCTTGACAGCTGAAAGAGAAATCCAGATTTGAGGCTTGATTATAAAAAGAAAATGATCTGGCCTGCGTGCATTTCTCCAGTCTAACTTCTTTACCCCCTGTCTTTTATCTCACATCTCTGCAGCATAAAGAACGTGACACCCAAAGTGGGTGCTGAGGAGACCCACGACGCCATTCGGCGAGCCTTCGACGTGTGGCAAAGCGTGACGCCACTGCGCTTTGAGGCTGTGCCCTACAGCGAGCTGGAGAGGAGCAAGAAAGACGTGGACATCACCATCATCTTTGCTTCAGGTTTCCACGGAGACAGCTCACCCTTCGATGGCGAGGGGGGCTTCCTGGCCCATGCCTACTTTCCAGGGCCGGGAATAGGAGGCGACACACACTTTGACTCAGACGAGCCTTGGACGCTGGGCAACCCCAACCACGATGGTAAGGATGGTAAATACACTGTTGACCTTCATGGTTTCATCAGCTTGTTGCAAAAATACAACAAAACCAGGCGTCAGTCATAAAACAGCGGCTTTTATTGAGTATTTACAACGAAATAGTCCCAGCAGCTCGACCAGAAGCCAAACTGCTGACCTTACACATAATAAGCTCCTGCTGCTAATTCATTTTCTGCAGAGACATGGCAGCCAATAAGGTTTAAAACGAGTTTAATTCACACACAGAATGTCCATAAAACACAAACTCGTCACACTGTTAATTAGTCCTTGGCTGTGCGTTCATTTTTAGTTAACGTTAAACAATGTGTAATGCTCAGAGGTTGCTATCGATTTCAGGTAACCTGCAATGACGTTAAACACACATCCTTACTGTGGAGTATTCTGCCCTTTTTTTTTCACTCGCCTGTTTTATTTCACCAAAAGTGGACAGAAATGATCGACACAGGATATCGTGATCCCTGAGGTGAGACACGGGATTTCCCGCGGCCTCGCATCCAAAACAGTAAAACAGGAAATTGTGGCTTTACAGATATAGTTACAGGTTTAATACTTTTATCACATTTACTACATATTTACTGTGGTAATTGTAAAGGTAAAAGTGTATTTTATGTTCAGTACGTCTGCACGGAGCCATGCGTCGTGATGCTGTTGGTTTTGCGGGGTCAGGTCACTACTCATTCCTTGCTCTGCTGTGATTTACAACTGTGATTTGCTGAGGCTTGTTGCTTCATCTCTCTTTCTCAAAGCAAATACCCCCCTCGTTGAACAACAGTAATCATATCCCCTCTCACTCTGCGCCGGTCTCAAGCCCGTGCCCTCGCTGAGTACCTGCCCTTGGAGCCTTGCAGCCCGCCTTTAGCGGGGTCTGCATGCCATGTGTTCTGCATGGTGCAGTCTGAGCAGGCGCGTTGGCGTCCAAGTCGTTGTGCTGAGATGCAACAGGTCTCCACTTGTGTTTTTTGTGTATTAGTGGCAGCCAGTCCTAGGTGAAACTCTGAACTCTGTGCACCCTTAAGCGAGAGTCAATGAAGAGCGAGAGAGGGTGGAAAGAAAGGTCTGCAAAGATGATCCAATCACAATAAGATTTGTCCGAGTTTGCAAAAGATGGACGTACCTCTGCTTGAATCCCTCATTAAATTCTAGGAGCTGATCCGCCCTGCTGTCAGCGAGTCATGAGCCAAAAAACAATAGCAGTGGTAACCGATGCAGCGGCAAGGATGAGGGACACAGATGAAAAAAATATATAGATACATAAAAACAGATGAGATTCCTAGCGGGAAGGCAGCGGAGATAACAGCAAGCAAAAGAGAGGATAACAGAGAGAAGCACAGTGTCATTAGACAAATATTGGAAGATCAAGCGCTCATAAGAGAGACAGAAGGAGAGGGAAAGACTGAATGAGCAGCGTAGTGAGGAGTAAAGAAAACATTTGAAGAGGAAAGGCAAGAGAGGGAGACGAGTGGGAGCTGGTGATCACTACTTTGGAAATCAGAGTAAGTAACTTGCTGTTGAAGACAGAATTTTAAGCTGGAGCAGAGGGGCATTGGCAGGTTCAGACAGAACAGAGTGAACAACTTTTCTTTAAGCTTTGATCGATCAGTGTGACTCTCTATTTAGGATAACGATAACCTCTAGTAACCGTCGACAATGCTGGTTGTTCATTCTGCTCCACTCTTTGACATGATACATATGTATTAACACGCGAAGGTAAAGACCCGCACGTTACCCACGCACTCACGCGCACGCTGACAAGCAGCTGTCACTGAAGGCCACGATTCACGCAGACACGTTCTGTTCCTCCCCTCAGTGCAGTATTAATACAGCCCTGCTGTGGCCCACACTTCTGTGAAGACATCCCATAATGCAGGCACTTCCATTAAGCTCTCTCCAGCTTTTTTTTTCTTTTTCAAATGGGAGTGTTTACTGGCTGAGTCCTGACTGCTCGCCGTGGCGGGGGCTGCTCTTATTCCTGTGTGACGGCTGGCGTTACATTTAGATGAGTTTTGAAGAAGCACACAGCTCAAAGCTTTTTTCTTTCTTATCCTGAAATGTAACAATCCCTATGCCAAAAACTATTGCAAATATCAGGCTCTGTATCGCTCTGCCAGATTGTTTTTCTCGTCTTGGCACGGTCGCGAGGCTTTGAGCCATAGTGTAGCTTTTGGCAGACGAACACTTAAAAACTGTAAGATAATAGTACCGCAAGCAATAACGCTACAACTTCAGTACTAATAATTAAACATAGTCCTGTTTCATTGCACCGCGTACTGTTGCAGCCAGTAATCTGTGATCAGATTAATGTATCATGACACAATCTCTGCAGTATTGCTTCAGTTAGTGGTGTTTTTATTTCATCTCGTAAACACATAAAGTCTGAACTCTTTTGTTCTGGCCATTTATTTGCTCAGCTTCCCAGAGAGATGAAAACAAAAAAAAAAGAAAAAGTAAAAGAGAGCATGTACTGTATTTTAAGGCATTTACAGTTACTCCTGTGTTTTTGCATCCTTATACAGTAGATGGATGGTAATGGATTATAAAGTGTCACGTAAGTGCAAGGTCCTTGCTGTCAAATAAAGGCAAAGAAATGATAAAATGTGTTTGTGCTAACAGCTCAATGAGACTGAAAGCCCCTCAGATGCCAGAAAAAGTGCACAGAGGTTCTAATGATGGAGACTATAGAGACGAGGCTCTGTGGAGAGTTGTCATAATCTTGCTTTTACATGGATTTTATTGGCCAGTGCAGTACATTTCTGAGCTTTCTGCACTGGCACTGCTGCTGTGTCGATATTCCTCCTCAAACAATAGGCAGACAGGTGGTCTTACGCTGAAGTGATGCTTCCTAGATTATGACTAATGTGTAAAATGGAAACGATGCAATGCATTTACAAAGAAATATCTCCAGAAGCATTTTTTTTTCATGTCATGTCATCGTAAGTCAGCCAACAGGCTGACTTACGATTTAAGAGCCAAAGATGCGAAACTCAGCTCGCTTTTGTTTATCTGGAATCGGCGGCAGTAAAATCACGCACGCAGATGTTCATTTTAATCTAGATGTTGTGGCTGCGGGGATGGATAATTCCATAGATTCCCAGTGCATGCTATTTCAAGGATTTGTAATCCATCTCTGATTCATCCCACACTTTGTAAGAACAGCTGGGAATGATGTAATGTTTGTCCAGACCAGCACATGATTTTTAGCTTTTCAGTTCCTTTTTTCATCCTATTTTCTTTCTTTCAGTCTCCTCTCCCTCCTTCTTTGTTGTGTTTCAAAGTTACAATCCCACACAGGCACACAGCAGAGATGAGCTGCTGTCTGGTAAGCTGTCATACCTAATCCTCCCCCTGCACTGTTGTCGAGAGAAAAGAAAAATATCAGTCATCAGGGCGACTGTTGCCAGCGTCACACCGTCAGTGTTATTGTTGTTGTTTTGGACAATGGTGTCACAGATGCACGCTGAAGGATTAATCCCTGTTTGCGCTGAGACAAACACTTGCATACATGTGTGTTTAAGTACTCACATGTACAGTTCCACTCACACTCCAGCACAGGTGTTAATGGAAAAGTTTCATTCAGTGTGATTTTTAGCACATGTTGGAGAGTGATTTATTCAAGACTAGACACTGATTGGGTGCTGTCTGACAACCACTGGTTGCTAGGAAAAATTGGTATTCCCTACCCAGTAGGCGCGTGTTTGCTGGAGGTCACTTTCTGTTGCTACTGAGGTATGTGGTGCAACACCGAAAACCTCCTTGTGATTGCTTTGGTCTCAAGCACACTTGCCAACTTTTTGCTAAGTGGTAGAGAAACTGCAAAAAATGTGATGCAAACTGGAAACAGAGACCATTTGCTTTCAATGTAAAAGCTGTGCCTTTGAGGGATGTTGGTTAAATCATTAAGACACAACTTTAAAGGCGAACAGCTGCATCCCTACTGCTCCGTGGTTATAGCAAGGGTTAGAGTTATCAGTCATATCATATACATTTTATGTGCCGTCTTGTCACTATGTCTTTGTAAATTATTTTGTGTTTGGACATTGGTTGTTGTTTTTGTGATCAAGAAATGTGTTCAAGTTTAGCTAGCGTTAGGCTACCATGACCAAGAGTTCTTACAATAATCTGATGATCAAATTTGTGTTATAAGTACTACACCATAAATGCTTTGGTCTATATATTAGTATATGGTCTATATGGTAGAGTGCCATAACAACAGTTCAGTGTAATCTTTGAGGGAGTCTTGATATACAGTAGCTAACATGCAGCTGTTATGTGTGTTTGATTTTGGTACATTTATCACAAAGGAGAGAAGGTGGCGACTCTAAATTAAAACACACTAGAAAAGCTACAACCACGGCAGCGTGACAAAAGAAAAAAAGAAAACCGTGTTGTACCTGAAGATGTTTCTGCCAATATTTAAATCTGTTTTTCAAGCTAAGAATTCTAAACATCTGCTGCCTCAAGCTTCCCTAATATCAGTTTTTGCGCTAAAAAGTAATTCATTAAGAAAGTGATTTATACATTAATGGATCCTGAATGTGAAAGTAAACAAACCAAGGCTGTGCCAGACCATCTGTGGAGACTCCACTTTCACCCACTTATTAGCTGTTTGCTCGCTAATAACATCATGTGGGGGTTTTTTAGAGTCGTGTTTAACAAGTGGATGCACTGTAAGTGGCCACTTAAACATTTGCAGGTCTAGTTTTTACTTGGATGTAACCAAAATCAAAAATGAGAGATTTTCAGTTCTCATTTTCAAGTCTAATGCATCTCTGAAAGAGTTGTTTATCACATTTTAGAGGAGCCAAATGCTGCGTTCTGTAACCAACAGTGCAACGCTGTATTAAAAACTAAACGGTACTTTGAGAAATAAGCAGAGGTCTCCAAGCTTCCTTTTAGTGTGGAAATGGACATAATATTAATTACAGTCATAACGCGAGCTTGTGGTTGCTTTTTGGAAGAAGGCATGTTCAGATACAGTTTAGGATG